AGAATAGACCCTAGTGATTTCAGTTTTGTTTTTTTTTTTTTTTTTTTGAGACAGAAGAGAGTCTCGGTTTGTTGGTCCAGGGGCTGAGAGTGAGTGCCGTGCGTCAGCCTCGGCTCCAAGCGCAGACCTCACTCCTGGGCTTGAGCGAGTCCTTCTGCCTCAGGTTTTTTTTTTTTTTTTTTTTTTAATGTAGTTTTTGATCATTTGGTATTCACTGTTAATGACATCATTAGAATATATGATGAACATGTTTAACCCTTGGGTGAAATACTTTCTATTTTCTTGTTTTTCTTCTTGATTTTTTTTTGGGGGGGGACAGAAGAAAAAATGGAGGCTCATCAATAGGCTTTAAGGAGCCATTAAAACTCCTAAAATTGCATACAAAATTCTTTTGGGGAACAGATGTACAAATGGTTAGGAACAATTTATTCATTCAGTAAATAATTATAAAACACCTATTTTGTACCAGACGGATTCTCAGTGCTAGGTATGGAGCAATGAACAAAACAAGGGTAGTATCTCTGAAATAAGACAGGCCAAAACTATATTGCCCAGGCTAGAGTGCCGCGGCATCAGCCTAGCTCACAGCAACCTCAAACTCTTGGGTTCAAGCTATCCTGCCTCAGCCTCCGGAGTAGCTGGGACTACAGGCATGCGCCACCATGCTCGGCTAATTTTTTCTATATATATATATTTTTTAGTTGGCCAATTAATTTCTTTTTATTTTTAATAGAGGCAGGGTCTTGTTCTTGCTCAGGCTGGTTTTGAACTCCTGACCCTGAATGATCCGCCCACCTTGGCCTCCCAGAGTGCTAGGACTACAGGCACGAGCTATCGTGCCTGGTTCTTACTGATTTTTGTTTATATGTGTGTGTGTGTGTGTGTTGTCTTTTCTAGGAAGAAGGTTCTGTCTGCCTGAACTTGGTAGACAAGGGCAAGGCTTTTAAATTTCAAGATAGTTCTATGATGATTTTTTTTTTTTTAGTAAAATTTTTTTTTAACCTTTTTAACCAAGTGGTAAATGTGTGAAATAGTTTAATGATAAATTTATAGAGGTACAGTTCATGGGCCAGATGTACATTTGCAATTGTGATAGATATTGCTAGGTATTTATTTCTCCATAGAGAGAATGTCTAAGTATACCCATTTCCTCTTAGCATGTAAGACATTTTGGATGTCATTGGTAGTCAGAAAGATTAAAAAAGAAAAATATCCAGTAGAAGAGGAAAGTTAAAAAAAAAAAAAAAAGAAAAATAGCATATCGGTGTTATTTTTCTCCTCTGATCTTTTATTTTAATAAGTTTAAAACCTATAGAAAAGCTGCAGTATCATGCTGTATAATATCATGAAACCCCCATAGACCCTCACCTACATTTACTAATTGTTTACATTTTACCATATTTGTTTCATCTTTCTTGCTGTATGTGTACACACAAAACATACATATGTATGTGTATTTTTTTCTCCTGAACCATTTGAGGTTCTTACACGTATCATGATATGACATTCCTAAATTCTTTTTTTTTTTTGAGACATCTTTGTTGCCCAGGCTAGAACTCCTGCCATGGCGTCAGCCTAGCTCACAGCAACCTCAAACTCCTGGGCTCAAGTGATCCTTCTGCCTTAGCCTCCTGAGTAGCTGGGACTACAGGCATGTGCCACCATGCCTGGCTAATTTTTTCTATATATATATTAGTTGGCCAATTAATTTCTTTCTATTTATAGTAGAGACGAAGTCTTGCTCTTGCTCAGGCTGGTTTTGAACTCCTGACCTTGAGCAATCCACCCACCTCGGCCTCCCAGAGTGCTAGGATTACAGGAGTGAGCCACCGCACCCGGCCCTAAATTCTTTTTTTTTTTTTTTTTTTTTTTTGGCGTCCTTACAAGAGGAAAGGCCGGCCCTAAATTCTTGATATGTATTTCCTAAGAACAAGGGCCTTCTCTTTTGTGAGCACGATACAATTATTATACTCAAGAAATTGAACATTGATGTGGCATTATTATCTAATACGTAGTCCATATCCAGATTTCTTCAGATTTTCCACTAATGTCTAGTATGGTTTTTTGCTTTATTTTAAAATTCAGGATCTAATCAAGGATTACATGTAGTATTTGGTTGTCATGCTTCTTTAGTCTAGAATACTTCCTTGTCCTTATTTATTTTGATCTTTCATGCCATTGACATTTTTCAAGAGTCCAGGTAAAGTGTTTTGCAGAATAATCACTTAATATGAATTTATCTCATTGGTTACTCAGTATTGTATTTATCTTAAATATTGTTGGCAAATATACTACGTTGGTGATGTACTTAGTACTTCTTAGTGTATTGTGTCAGGAGTACATTCTATCAGTTTGCCCTATATTGATGGTGTTAAGTAAGGTTGCTTATTTAGTTAAGGCTTTTCTCTCGTAAAGGCTTTTTTTTTTTTTTTTTTTTTGAGACAGTGTTTTACTCTGTTGCCGTGGTTAGAGTGCAGTGGCATCACCATAGCTCACAGCAACCTCAAACTTCTGGGCTCAAGCGGTCCTCTTATCTCAGCCTCCTGAGTAGCTGGGACTATAGGCGTGCACCACCATACCCAACTAATTTTTCTGTTTTTATTAATAGTAGAGACAGGCTCTCACTCTTGCTCAGGCTGGCCTTGAACTCCTGAGCTAAAGCAATCCTTCCGTCTCCGCGCTCCTAGAGTGCTAGGATTATGGCCACCCCACCCAGTCATGAAGGTATTTCTGACCCCCTTAATCTGTGAGGTGAAATTTGGGCCCTGTGTGAATGTCCTGTTTGCCATCAGTGTTCTACTCAATCATTTTAGCATACATCGATGATTCTTGTCTGAATCAACTTTTACTCTCTTCATTGTGTTCAGTGTAATTTTAATTTTCTATTTCAGTGTTTTTTTGTTTTGTTTTTTTTTTTTTTTTGTGTGCCTGTAACCATTGTTCATTTTTGTTGGGTCTTTTAAATTGGTTCAAGATTTTTTGTTTTTGATGTTAAGGAATCAGTTCTTTGTGATATCTGTTGCAAATATTTCTGCCTAGTTTGTTTTATTACTATGGTTATTTTTACTAAGAAGAAATATAAATATCTATTTGTTTATTCATTTTCTTATTTTTTGTAGTATGATTTAGAAATTTTAATTTTAATTTTTTAATTGACAAATAATAGTACATATTCATGGGGTACATAGTGGTTTTTTTTTTTTTTTTTGAAACAGAGTCTCACTGTATTGCCCAGGCTAGAGTGCCATGGCTTCAGCCTAGCTTACAGCAACCTCAAATCCTGGGCTCAAACAACCCTTCTGTCTCAGCCTCCTGAGTAGCTGGGACTACAAGGCATGCGCCACCATGCCCGGCTAATTTTTTCTATATCTATTTTTAGTTGGCCAATTAGTTTCTTTCTACTTTTAGTAGAGACAAGGTTGTTGCTCAGGCTGGTTTCGAACTCCTGACCTTGAGTGGTCCGCCTGCCTCAGCCTCCCACATAGTGATGTTTTAATGCATATAATGTATAGTGATCAGTTTAGGGTAATTGGCATGTCCTTCTCAAACATTTATCATTTCTTTGTGTTGGAAATGTTCACTAGCTTCCTTTTAGCTATTTGAAATTATATATTATTAGTATTATTAACTAGAGTCATCCTACAGTTGTACAGATCACTAGAACTTATTCCTCCTATCAAGCTGTAATTTTGTTTCCTTTAATTACTCTTTCCCTATTCTCCGTACCCTTCCCAGCATGTAGTATCCTCTGTTCTACTTTTAACTTCTGTGAGATCAACTTTTTTCAGCTTCCACATATGAGTGGGAACATGCGGTGTTTAACTTTCTGTTCCTGGCTTATTTCACTTAACATAATGTCCTCCAGTTTGATCCATGTTGCCATGAATGACAGGATTTCATTCGTTTTTATGGCTGAATAGTATTCCGTTGTGTATATACATACACCACATTTTCTTTATCCATTCATCTGTTGTTGGACACCTAGGTTGATTCCATATCATGACGATTGTGAATAGTGCTGCCATAAACATGGGGGGTGCAGATGTCTCTTTGATATACTGATTTCTTTTTCTTTGGATAAATTCCCAGTAGTGGGATTGCTGGATCATATGGTAGTTCTATTTGTAGTTTTTGAGGAAGCTCCATACTGGTTGTGCTAGTTTACATTCCCACCCACAGTGTATAAGCATTCCCTTTTCTCTGGATCCTCATCAGCATTTGCTATTTTTTGTCTTTTTGATAATAACCATCCTAACTAGGGTAAGTCGATACCTCATTGTGGTTTTGATTTGTATTTCCCTGATGATTAGTGCTGTTGAGCATTTTTTTCATGTACTTGGTCATTTGTATGTCTTCTTTTCATAAATGTGTGTTCAGCTCGTTGGCCCATTTTTAAATTGTATTATTATTATTATTTTTTTTGATGTTGAAATGTTTGGATTACTTGTGTTTTCTGCATATTAATCCCATAGGATGAGTAAGTTTGCAAATATTTTCACCTGTTCTATAGGTTGTCTTTTCACTTTGTTGATTGTTTCCATTGCTGTACTGAAGCTTTTTAGCTTGACATAATCCCATTTGTTTACTTTTGCTCTTGTTCCCAGTGCTTTTGAGATCTTACTCATAAAGTCTCTTTCCAGCCCAGTATACTGAAGTGTTTCCCCTATGTTTTCTTCTTACAGTTTTGTAGTTTCAGGTCTTACATTTAGGTATTTGATCCATTTTGAGTTGGTTTTTGTATAGAGTGAGAAGTGGGAGTCATTTCATTCTTCTGCATATGTCCATCCTGTTCTCCCAGCACCATTTATTGAAGAGACTGTCCTTTCCCCAATGAGTGTTCTTGGCACCTTTGTCAAAAATCAGTTGGCTGTACATAGGTGGATTAATTTCTGGGTTCTCTATTCTGTTGTTTGTCTATGTGTCTTTCTTTATGCCAGTGTCATGCTGTTTGGGTTACTACAGCTTTGCAGTACATTTTGAGGTCTTATAGTATGATACTTAAAGGTTTATTCTTTCTGTTATGAATTGCTTTGACTATTTGGGATCTTTTGTGGTTCCAAAGAAATTTTAGGATTTTTTTTTTTCTGTGAAGAATGTCATACCAATGATAGGGATTTCATTGAATCTGTGTATTGTTTTGTATAGTATTGTAATATTAATTCTTCTGATCGATAAGCCTAGATTGTCTTTCCATTTGTTTATATCCTCTTCAGTTTCTTTCATCAGTGTTTTATAGTTTCCCTTATAGAAATCTTTTACCTATTTGGTTAAATTTTATTTTCCTTTTTAAAATTTTTTTTCTTTTTTTTAATGCCCAAATTTTGTCTCTTCTTGGTTAAATTTATTCCTAAGTATTTTTTATAGCTATTGTAAATGAGATTGCCTTCTTGGTTTCTTTTTCAGCTAGTTCATTGTGTATAGAAACACTACTGATTTTTACATATTAATTTTTTATCCTGCAACTTTACTGAATTCATTAATTGTAAGAGTTCTTTGGTAGAGACTAGGTTTTTTTTTTTTTTTTTTTTTTTTTTTTTTTGAGACAGAGTCTCACTTTGTTGTCCAGGCTAGAGTGAGTGCCGTGGCGTCAGCCTAGCTCACAGCAACCTCAATCTCCTGGGCTTGAGTGACCTTCTGCCTCAGCCTCCTGAGTAGCTGGGACTACAGGCATGCCACCATGCCTGGCTAATTTTTTTTATATACAGGCTGGTTTTGAACTCCTGACCTCGAGCAATCCGCCCGCCTCGGCCTCCCAAGAGCTAGGATTACAGGCGTGAGCCACAGCGCCCGGCCTTTTTTTTTTTTTTTTGATTTTTAAAAACCAAAAGATTTATTGTGTGACTAATTATTGAAATTCTTAAGATAAACTGGATGTTGCAATAGCTGCCCTCTTGGGTTTCGGTGTTGTTCCTTCATGGAATCCATGCCTGAATCTGTGGTATACAATTTTTAGGTGCCTCATCCGACTGGTCCAGGTGGTATTGCATCATTTAGCCTTGGCACTCCAATTATACTTTCTCTTGCGCTTGGCAGGGTAGCCACATTTGCCACAGGTCGACTTTTGAAGGTGGTAGGCCTTAGAGCCATCGTGGCGGCACAACGTATGCGTCTTATTGTGAGGCTTACCAAACAATGACGTCCCCTTTGTCATCTCGCTTCTGTGGCCGAGACCAAAGAGACTGGAAAAGAAGGCACTTCTGCTGTCGAGGCTAGGTTTTTATATATATAAGATCATGTCACTTGCAAATGGGGACACTGACTTTCTACTTTATAATTTGGATGGCCTTTATTTCTTTGTCTTACCTAATTGCTCTGGCTTAGAGATATATATATTATAGTTTCTGGGTTTCTGTTATAGTTAAAAAGGCAACACTGAGATTAATTTTTTTAAAAGATCCCTTTTCCCATCATTTATTTATTTATTTACTTTTATTTATTTTTTTGAGACAGAGTCTCACTCTGTTGCCCTGGGCAGAATGTAGCGGTGACATCATAGCTCACTGCATTGTCAAACTCCTGGCTTCAAGGGATCCTCCTGTCTCAGCCTCTCAAGTACCTGGTACTACAGGTGCATGCTTCGACACCTGGCCAATTTTTTCTATTTTTAGTAGAGGTGGGATCTCACTCTTGTTCAGGCTGGTCTCAAACTCCTGAACTGAAATGATCCTCCTGCTTTGGCCTCCCAGAGTAATAAGATTACAGGTGTGAGCCACCGTGCCTGGACTTTTTTTTTTTTTAACTGGCATATTTTAATATATTATCTTGGCTACAAAATCTGGATTTTGGAGATTGAAGGCAGATCACCAGAACATCCAAAATGTCATTTAAAAAAAATTATTGTTTGTTCAAGTGAAATTGAAACTTCTAAGTGTTTGTTACTGTTTGTATTTAAAGTTTATGATTTGATGGGAAATAAGATATCCTTTTGACCTTTTAAGGCATTGCGTATTTATTCTGGAAGTAAGAAAATTTGGCAAGAATTATCTCCTTTCTAGTGAAGGTCTGTTATTTCAGCATTTCATTGATTTATACTTTTATACCCTACTTAATTTCTTCAGGTTATCAAGGTGATGGTCAACATAGACTTTGGTGTAGGTTTCAATATGCATTCTTGAATTGTGGAGATACAAATTAACTCCATCAATACTATATAATTTGATTTCCTTTTTGTGTAGTATATGTAATATATAACGTATTTCACATAATTGTTTTTGTTTTGTTTTGAGACAGAGTCTCACTGTGTTGCCTGGGCTGGAGTGCCGTGGTGTCAGCCTAGCTCACAGCAACCTCAAACTCCTGGGCTCAGGCAATCCTCCTGTCTCAGCCTCCCGAGTAGCTGGGACTACAGGCATTCGCCACCATGCCTGGCTAGTTTTTTCTGTATATTTTTAGTTGTCCAGCCAATTTCTTTCTATTTTTTAGTAGAGATGGGTTCTCACTGTTGCTCAGGCTGGTCTCAAATTCCTGAACTCAAACCATCTGCCCGCCTTGGCCTCCCCAGAGTGCTAGGATTATAGGTGTGAGCCACCACGCCCAGCCACACACAATTGTTTTTTGTTGTTGTTTGTTAGTACTTTTGTAACATTTGTTAGCACTTCCTATATCATCTGAGTAAATACCTGGCTATTAAATACTCCGGTCTAGGAATATTAGGCATGAGCTGTTGTTTCCTCCTGAAAATGTGGATTTTTAAGTACTGATTTTATTTTCTAGGTAGAACTGAAGTTTCCTGCACCAGGCAAGCCTGGAAATTATCAGTATACTGTGTTTCTGAGATCAGACTCTTATATGGGTTTGGATCAGATTAAACCATTAAAGGTAAGAATAGTGACTTTTCAACAAATAAAATTTTTCTGTTTAATTGCTTAATTTAAATTACTTTATTGATACATCTTAATGTGCTGTAATATGCCATAACTTTATAGGGCCTCAGCAAATGGGTTCTTGTTTTCTTTAGAAAAGCACAAATATTTTTACTGCACATTGTATCGGAGTGTTTATTAATTCCTGGAACTATTTTTATCGTCCTGTGTAGGATGATACACTTTCTGTAAATATCATTTGAAGCATATTCCCATCTTCGCTTATCATTTCACTTGAGCTTTTTATAAAAGACATTATTTTATATTAGAGAAATGGTTCTAAAGTATTGTTGCACTGTAAAGAGGAAAAGGAAGCCAATAAAGGTGGGCCTTTTTTTTCCATGAGAGTTTCATATTTTTTTCCATTGGCTATAGAATTTTACTTCATAAGTGTAGAGGTTGCAAAATATCTCTTTTTCCTTATTTCAGCAGAAGACTTCTATTAAGATATCACTCAGTGTCCTTGCTCAGAAATCACAATTATTAATCTTTTGTGCCAGAGAAATACATTAATAAATAGTATAACTTATATAAAATCAAAATATCAAAATGTATTTGAAATTTAACTACATTTACATGTTAGTAGATTTACTTATTTTTGGGATGAAGTATCTCTTCTAAATGAAATATGTTAAATTTAGAGTTGTATCTATAAAAATCTGTTTATAATTGCTGTGGTCAATGAAAACCATTTGTTTATCAGATATTTCTTCCATTATTCCTCCCAAAATTTCTGATGTCTGCATTTAATTCTTCTTTCTAGTTGGAAGTTCATGAGGCTAAGCCTGTGCCAGAAAATCACCCACAGTGGGACACAGCAATAGAGGGGGATGAAGACCAGGAGGACAGTGAGGGCTTTGAAGATAGCTTTGAGGAAGAAGAAGAGGAAGAGGAAGATGATGACTAAGCAGTACTATGAACGGACCACAGTGTTTGCACATCTTTGCAAAATTTTGCTGTTTTGGAAGTGTATAATAAATCAGAAACAGGACAGAACTGATATTGAGGGAGGTCTTAGTTTTTTTTCTCTAGAAATGGGTGTGTTATATTAACTAGGCAGGCAGTGGTGGTGCCGTGGTACAATCTGAAAAATGCTGAAGGCTTATTGAAGCCTTTCAAGTATGGGATGGTGCATTTATTTCATCTGCAAACGATAATAAATCCTTTGTTATTATAACTGTTCAGAAGTGTGGGCTGTGTATTATCTGATCAGTGTATGGTCCCGGTTAAAAGTAAAGGTACATGAAAATCTATAAATGAGCAACTTTTCTTTGTTCAGCTTTAGTTTCAGTAAACATTAATGTATGATAAATACTACAAATGTTTTAAGTAACATCTGCTCAAGTTTATAATCTCTTGATAAGCTCTATTACTCATTTATTGACATTTTGTAGTGATATAAGACTATTTATAACAGCTCCATTCATAGGTTTAAACATTTTATTTTTACCTCTATCTTGGTCATTAGTTGGCATTCTCTCACATTCCACATAATATAGAGGGCTACAATTTGAAATTTTCCTTTTCTTAATAGCCTAGAGTTATCAGATGGATTATAAAAATAGCTTTTAATGGCTTAAAACATTTTTAAGCCTCTGTCTTAGCAGATCAATGCAGGATCTAATTCTTTTCATAAGCTATTAGGTCTAAAAGTGATTGTGGGACCATATGTTCTCTGATATTGGTGGCTTATATTATTAAACCTTTTTTAAAAGGTTCACTCTAAAAGCTGAACTACATTCTTAGCTTTTAATCTACCTGACTCTATCAGAAGCCTTTTAAGGAAAGTAAGTATAACATACAAAGAAGGCTTTTTTGTATTCGTTTTGGACTCTTGTCAATAAAATAGAAGTTTGACTTATTTTATGTTTTCAATGTTGTGTGTCTTTTTACTTCCAGAGAAAGGATATAAATAGGGCAATCCGTTCTTTTATTTTTCTTTTAAAAATTTAATATTGTACATTACTGCTGAAGCAACTGCTGTTTCTGTATACTATAGAAAAATCCAGGAGTGAGAGGGATTTCCCCTCACATAGTACAGCTGGAAGGATAGTGCTTATAAACAGTAGAAATGTGTACATGATGAATCATTGAGATGAGGTGAATATTTTTATTACTAGATATGGAGGAAGCATAAGTCTGTAGTACTATAGGATAATTGTAATAATCCTCTATCAGAATCTTCATAGGCCAAAGTACTGTTGGAATACTAATTTGTGACCTTGTTTACTTAAAAGGTTGCTACTTTCAATGCAGAATTACCACTGGTATTTTGTTACTGCAATAGTTGGAAATAAAATTTGAAAATTACCAAAAACATGAATGGTTTTTTAGTTCTAAATTTAGGATGTAATATTTCCTATCAAATGGTCAAAGCAGTTTTTTCATTGGAACCTTGATCATCAGTTTAGTGAGACCTTCCCTTGGCAGGCAGGATGCTTTGCCCCTGAAGATTTGTTTTTTTACAAGTGAGAAGGGTGGGCTTACTTTTCAAATCAGGTTTTGCTGTGAATTGCCAGTGTGGGTTGAGGCAGCTATTGATCACCTAAATGTTGTGGCAGGGAGTGAGCCAGCTTGTTACGTCAAATGAAAGGAGAGGTTAGAGAAAATGTGTGCAGTGTAACATCAAGGAAAGTGAACAAACAAAACAATGTGTAGTATACACATTTCCTAGTTTTCTTGAAAGATACTTTTCAGGAAAAGTATTTCTTTTCTAGTGGCTATTTTGCTTTAAAGAGGCTGTACTAGTTCATTCAAACAACTGGCTTCTTTCTGGTTTTAAGACTCGAGAGGATGATATCACAACCTAGTAACTCACCACAGTGCTTAAAAAACAGCATCACCAGGCCAAGGTGGGCAGATTGCTCAAGGTCAGGAGTTCGAAACCAACCTGAGCAAGAGCGAGACCCCGTCTCTATTATAAAATAGAAAGAAATTAATTGGCCAACTAATATATATAGAAAAAATTAGCCAGGCATGGTGGCGCATGCCTGTAGTCCCAGCTACTCAGGAGGCTGAGGCAGTAGGCTCCCTTGAGCCCAGGAGATTGAGGTTGCTGTGAGCTAGGCTGACACCACGGCACTCACTCTAGCCTGGGCAACAAAGTGAGACTCTGTCTCAAAAAAAAAACAACCAAAAAAAACCAGCATCACTTCAACATTGGAAAATCCCACCAATCTGTTTTCCATTGCTCTTTGTGTGATGCGTATATACTTCCCAACTAAATAAAAGACGTTTTCCTCTAATGAGTACTTTAGGTAACCTCTTTCCATATTGCAAAAGTGAGAAAACTGAGCCTTCAGTTTATGGTTCTCATCTTTCCAGCAAGTTGCTGAACTCCACACCCCTTTCTTCTTCCTCTGGAATGAGATTAACAAATTACCCTAGTTTGTATTTAATCTAGTTAAACTCGAGTGAAGTTTCAGTTTTATTCCTATCAAGAAACAGTGACATTTTGTCAACACTGTGAGCATGTAGATGAAAACATACAGTTGTGTGTGTACAAGGCGAAATTGGTTACTTAATGAAAGTTACTTAAATTATTTAATATTTTTATCTAAATTGGTAAACGACCTATTAAAACAAATACAGCCTTCCATAAGGAGACTTAGTTGCCACAATTGGAAGTGTAGAGATTGTGGATTTTAACATAAAAATTGATTGAGGCCCTGAGGTGTTTTCCATGTGGATATCTCAATCTCAAGTTAGATGTTCATGTCCTTTAAAATTTTTCCAGTTTTTATAAATTTTTTAAATTAAGGAACACATTGAGGTTCTCTGTGTAGAACAATACCTTGTGCTGTGTTCTACTCCTCCCAGCTTGCACTGAGGGGCAGAGTAGGACGAGCCCGTCCGGCTGTGCTGGTCCACTTGGTGCGGGGAAGCTCAGGCTCTGATGCCAAACAACTGATGTGGAAGTGGGGAAGGGTATTGAGGAATGTAATGAGCCTCTCTGGACATGTTATTCATGACCATGTTTATTTAGTATTTGCTGCAGCCAGATACCATATACTGTAGTGTTTAGTAGAGATTATTTCAAGTGTAATTTAGCAGCTTACATAATTTTTGATGGGTGGTTCATCATTTATCACATACTTACTGAGTTTCTATGTGCCCAGCTCTGTGATTGGATACTGGGGCTATCAAAGGAAACGTTAATATTAAGAACTCGCTGATAGGCAGCTGTGTGGCAATTCTTTTTAATCCCTTTGCCTTGGCCATTGTTTGGAATGCCTTTTTTCTAAGTCTTTCCACTATAGGCAAAGGAATTACTTTTTTTAGGGTCTAGCTATTTAATTGTTGGCTTAAGAAAATATAGGCAAATACTCATCCTCTTTTTTTTTTTTTTTTTTTTTTTGTGAGACAGAGTCTCACTTTGTTGCCCAGGCTAGAGTGCCGTGGCTTCAGCCTACCTCACAGCAACCTCAAACTCCTGGGCTCAAGCAATCCTGCTGCCTCAGCCTCCCAAATAGCTGGGACTACAGGCATGCGTCACCATGCCCAGCTAATTTTTTCTATATGTTTTTAGTTGGCCAATTAATTTCTTTCTATTTTTAGTAGAGACGGGGTCTCACTCTTGCTCAGGCTGGTCTCAAACTCCTGACCTTGAGTGATCCTCCCGCCTCGGCCTCCCAGAGTGCTAGGGTTACAGGCATGAGCCACTGCGCCTGGCCTCATCCTCTATTTTTAAATGTTTCTTTATAGCATTTCCCCCACCCCAAATATTCTGACTCCATGAAATCCCCAAGTCTGCCTTAAAGTGAAATAACTATTAGTGAACCATAACATGGTATTTGACCAACTGCATTGAGTGATTAGCCAAATATGCTTCAAGAAATGAGCACCAGGAGTTTTCATCCATTTAAACTTGATGCTAGGGCTATATTGCAAAACTTAAGGGAAAAAATGAGATCTTGTACATTTTTCTGTAACCTGAGCTAAAAACCCAAATAACCATCATTGGCATGCTTTAGGGCTGTTGGTTAGGTGGAAGTGTATACATCCCAGGGGTATGCAGATAATCCATTGAGAAAGTGTTAAAATGATTATTTGTATTTAATCTCATCCTTCTAAATTTCTATTTTTGTGTGTTTTATAATGTACATAATAATATTGTACAATTGTACACTTATATAATTTATAAATAAATAATACATTTATTGGTTCATTATATATATTTTTTCTGATTTGGGTGCATGATTGAAACATTTGGGCACCACTGCTTTGTGGCATTGATAGGGTGACATTGAAGCTAGCCTGAAGGGTTGGACCTTCGGCACTCACCATTGAGATCATAAATGTTGCTAGAGGTGAAGGGTTGGCGTTCATCTTGTCCAGCCCCGCTGTAGCCTACAAGAGCAAAGTGATGCTTTTCTGAGATGGAGCTGGAAGGTTTGGAGGTGGGTTGGAGGGTTCTCAGCAGCTGTTGTCTATGGAATTCAAGTAGCGCAGGTGAGATGGGGTGGAAGTGCTCGGGCTGACTACTGGGACTTGAGCAAAGGCTACAGCCTGCCCTTGGCCCTGGCAGGCAGTGGTTGCTACAAATTGAACGTGAGTGTGGGAAGGACTGTCCACTCTCTTCAGCACTAGGTTGTTCAGCATTAACCTGTCAGCTTGGGGACGCAGAGGGAGCTGTGTCCCTCTCCCCCGACGCTTAGACTTTAAAATCTGGGTAATGGTAGCAATGGATACCACTTAGGTGTGAACTGCTTCAGACTTTCTCTGTATTTTCCAGCCTGGTTCCGGTAGAGGGCGATAGGGCTATAATTTTCATTAAGGATGGTTTGTTTAGTTTGTGAGACTAAGAACCAAGATTAAAGAAATGCTTCATGATACATTTCTATCTGCACTTTCTAGGATTGCCTCTTTCCCCTTTAATCTTTTATATTCCCCCTAACCATTATTTTTCAATACTTTAAGTTTGCTTCTAGGTTTTCTGGGTGGAAACATTGTCCCTTTGCAACAAACTGCAGAAGACAATTCATATTTATTCACTGTGCTAGAATTGTATCAGATTGTTTATGTGGGCAATCTTGATACAGAAATTCTTTAAAAATTTAAATTTTTTTGCATGGTTAGTGTTAATTATGAAGGGTCTGAAATATATATATATATATATATATTTTTTTTTTTTTTTCTAGAGAAAGGGTCTCACTCTGTCCCCCAGGCTGTTGTGCAGTGGT